TCTTAAAGACAGCGCCTACTCCGTCACAAGCTCCTTTACCGTGTGCGGTTACGTGAAAATGGGCTTCCGCATCTATGCCAAAATCAGTCTTGTGATGCAAGAGATTCGTGATCTGATAATGATTCTTGTAATGTTGTGCAGCTCCATCGGTGACATAGATAATTTTCTCTACGCTTTCACAGTTGTCTTTCACATGTTGTATTAAAATCTTCTGTATCAAATAAACAGCGGCAGTATCGTGAGTCGTACTGTCCGACAAAACGACTAAACTCCAATATTGGATTTCATTTTTTTCGCGATAGTAGTAAACAACGGGGTGAACTGTACACTGATCATTATTGTAGTGGAAGGATTGAGCAGCATTTTGAGCCACAAAAGCGTAATTTTCCGAAAAATCACAATGCACTAGTACTTCTCCATTATCCAAATTCTGTTTTCGCTGTTTGACAAAAGCCGATTGTTCTTTAGCAATGAAGTGATGGGGCTTCAATACTATCAATCGTTCCATTAGAAGATCAATAAATTCATCCATCGGGAGGGTCTGTGACTGCAAGGTACACCTGTCAGTACTGTGCCACACATGAAATTCGACTATTTCCACGACAGAATTAGAGAGAAGTTTCTTCAATTCACATGATAATGATTTCACTCCAGGACAATCGTGACATTCACCCAGATGACAGACAATCTGGATTGCTAGACAATCTTTGTAATCTCTGAGTGGACAGGGGGAATCTTGAGTTAGAGTCGCAATATTAATTGCCTCTAGCATCAATTTGTAATTTTGATGATACGTACAAACACACACCACGTGAGTGTCATTTGCTCCTGCCACTACACATTGTTTAGGTCTCAGCTCGGCAAACTTACTGAAACCGACCTTAGCATCTTCATTCGCATGTTTGTACTTGCGATGAAGGACTTTTAGATTTTCGAGTATCATTCGCTTTTGCTCTACTTTCTTCTCTCCATTGAACTTGATGGATATTTTATTTTTCATTCCTGGCATGACGCGACTGTGCTCTAGGTAAAAATTGTGTACCTTCTCGACGGTTGTGCTGGGTAGTGAATGACCTGCTTTCGCAATTGGTGAAGCAAACACTCCTTTAATTTTTTGCACTCTTTTCGCTCTTGACGCCATGTATCTGGTAGTTCCAAATTCAGAAGCAATTTTTCGCGCACTCCACGACTGTANTGAATGACCTGCTTTCGCAATTGGTGAAGCAAACACTCCTTTAATTTTTTGCACTCTTTTCGCTCTTGACGCCATGTATCTGGTAGTTCCAAATTCAGAAGCAATTTTTCGCGCACTCCACGACTGTAGATGAACCGTCAAGATTTGCAGGCACTCACGGTAGTTTTTCAGATCTTTGAATTTCTGCTTCAAACCATTCAACATTTCTTCTAATTCTATTTCTCGCGCAGATCGATACTGATTAGATGAAGATGGATCAATGTCACTTTGATCATCTTCCGAATCATAATCCATGGAAGAACTGTCGAATTCAGCTTCATCGTCTGGTTTGTCGTCGATTGATATGCCGGAATCATCAAGATAGAAAGATCGACCTGATCTCAGAGAATAGTTCATCACATCCAGACTTGGGTCACATGTTTCGGCTTGGAGCATTGATATATCAGGTGGAGTTTCCGAACGCTGAAGATGTGTAGCATTAAGTTTAACCGTGGGGACAGATGGAAGAATGACATAAGTTGGAGCTCTCGTTCGGCATTGACCACAGATTTTCGCAGACAAAGTGTCAAGGAAATCGGACTTAAATTATAACCGAGGTATCCCTTCTTACCAGGAGCCCGCATTGGATTCGCACATCTATCACTCCACGGCATTCTATGAAATCCGAAGATATCAATTCCGAGAATAATAGTACATTACGTAAATAGTGCGGAAAGCAGGCGGTTACTCACGAGGGCGGCGTCGCCCCCCCCCCCACTGAAGAAAAAAGATCACATCTATTTAAAAAAGTATTTATAAAAAAGTGTGATTGAACAATTTCATTTTCGTTACTGAATTCTCAATGACTTCTCACTAATTTCTAAAAATCAATCACCAAATTTCAGTGAAGTTTTGGTGAATTCTGTGACATGTCCCTGAAAAGCAAAAATAATTTTTTTCTGTGTTTCCTTGACATTATTTTGATCATTAGAATTCAATAAAGCCCTTAAGTTACAGTATTTGATCGAAGAAGGAGATTTTGGCGATTCTGCTGTTGCTTCATTGGAGAATATTTCATTTCCATTTTCTTCAAATGTCACATCACCAATCAACTTCTCCTCCTCACTGCCTAACTCTTCATCACTATCAGGAATTATACGATTTTGGCTCATTTTATCTGCTTCGAAATTCGGAGGTTAGATTTCCTTGTTATTCTCTTTTAATAGGTGATGCGCATACGCGCCATGCGTTATTTCGAGTTTTAGTTGAGTGTGGTCTAAGTATCATATTTTTGGCCGAAAATATATCTGGGATATATTGCAGATATATGTTAAATATTTTACATCGAGATATATGTGCATATTTATATCTAGGATATATCTGCCATATGACATTTTTAGCCGGAATATAAGTGAAATATACTGAGATATATGTCCGGATATATGTTCTTGCCATGAGGAAAACCACTCTCAAACGGTATGAATTTTTTAGTTCCCCTGTACGATTTTTTTTGAGGGTAGTCTCCACTAAATTTTTTGAGTCAATATGTTCTTTTTTTGCAGGGTAATTGATAATTTCGTCAACTATGGTACCCTACAGGATCGTCGCCATGATCTTCCGGGTCCATCTTATACAGTAACGACGGAAGAAGTAGTGGACAAGGTAGTAAAATATTTAACAAATCACTCAACTGATTCAATACGAAAGGCGGTTGCGAAGTTAGAATTGAACCAAGAGATACTACGTTTGATAATTAAACATTTCCTCAAACTTCAGCCTTATAAAATCACTTCCCATCAATTGCTTACGCAAGCTGCTATAGGGAAACGACTTGAATTCAGCAAAGTTTTAACGCAAATGTTTGAAAATGCTGAAATCGAAGCTAATCGAATTATTTTCATGGATGAAGCTCATTTCGACCTTAGTGGCTACGTGAATAAATAAAATTATCGATTTTGGGGGAGTGAAAATCCACATTCATCAGTAGCAAAACCACTCCCCCCTACTAAAGTTACAGTTTGGGCAGCTCTGTCGATCAAACAAATACATGTGAAAATCTTGGAAGGGACCATTACAGGGGAGAGTTACCGAGAGATGTTAGAAACTAAATTTTTCCCATTCGCTAACAAAAAAGGATTGGTAAAAGATTTATATTTTATGCGAGATGGTGCAACACCTCATCGAAATAATGATGTGTTTGCTACATTGCACAGAGTATACGGTGATCGCGTTATCGGCTTAGGGTATCCTCACTTCGCCCGAGCAGAGATGGAATGGCCACCATACTCACCGGATTTGAACCCGTGTGATTTCTTCTTGTGGGGTTATCTGAAAGACTTCTGTTACGCGGAAAATCCTCAGACAAAAGAGGCTCTGATAAACGCTATCCAGAAGGGTGTTTCTAATATTTCTCAAGCTAAAATTGAAGAAGTCTTCCAGTTTCTTAGTTTTCAGAAAAGCCTTGACTATTGCGCAAATTTTGATGGAGGACACTTTGAGAGTATTTACCATTAGTCATATACCCTCGAATGTGTTTGATCAATTCTTTCACTTTGTGAATTTTTATTAAAAAAAATGAAATGCAACTCTAACTAATGGCAAATAAATTTGCAAAGTCTATTGTGTCTACAAATATAATGGTCCTTCCTTTCCTACATCAATCAACAAAACTATGACAGTTTAATTTTCATCTATTCCGATTTGTCACCCTGTATATAGATGTCTGTCATATCATATCAATCTATATATGGGGCATTCCATGCCAACTCGACCAGCTCATGAACTCGACCCTTTAGATTTTGTTCATAATTTTTTCTATGGTTTACCGACATGAAAAAGGCACTCTCAAATTTTTTCAGATTTTTTCGATTGATAGGTCTTTTTTAACTAATTGTAACAGGCTGAACAAGTTCGCCCCAATTTAAAAATCTGAAAAAATTCATGAAATTTCTAAAAAATCTGAACTTTTTTTTAAAGTTAATTTCAAGATGGGCCGATCGATGGTTCACTCATTCGCTCATAGAACTATCATTTTTTCATAGAAAAAAAAATTTTTTGAGGATAAGTTTATATGTTTTTGGGGTCGTTGAATCCGAATTCGATTATAGCTTCGATGACTCTTCNTAATTGTAACAGGCTGAACAAGTTCGCCCCAATTTAAAAATCTGAAAAAATTCATGAAATTTCTAAAAAATCTGAACTTTTTTTTAAAGTTAATTTCAAGATGGGCCGATCGATGGTTCACTCATTCGCTCATAGAACTATCATATTTTCATAGAAAAAAAATTTTTTTGAGGATAAGTTTATATGTTTTTGGGGTCGTTGAATCCGAATTCGATTATAGCTTCGATGACTTTTCACTTCTAAGCATTCTGATTTGATTTTTTGCTGGAATGGTTCGAGATATGAAAAAAAGTTTCGAACAAACAATATTGCTGGTGAAAAACTCCACAAAATTTGACTTTTGACTTTTTTCCGTATCTCCGTTATTTACGGAGATATTCGCGTTCTTCGACCGCAATAAATGAATAAGACGCTCATTGCATGTAGATATGATGAAAGTGACTCATCCAATGCCAAATCCTGTTGATTGAGGACCTGAAAATCGAAGACTGCATTGCAAAAATTGTCATCTCGACATACTGTGAGAACTTGGTGGAACTAATCAACTGGAACGATCATTAGGAGTGAGGAAAAATCATCAAACTGCCAGAATATATGACAGAATTCCTAATCAATGGGGAGAGAACATACGAGAAGTGAAATGGTCTGAATAAGAATTTATTAAAACGATAACAATGTTATTTTCTTGATATTTTTGAGTGAGACTAAGAGTTGTCGCGAATTTGATGATCATTTCATAGTCCCAATGTTCATTTATTTTGAAGTTTTCTGACGGATTTCTGCGTTTTCGGATTTCTCTCTGTGTTTTTCAGGATTCCTGCCACATTCTTGACAATCCTGTGACATTTAAAATCTTCGGAACGTGAAAAACGTTTCACAAATAAATTACCATCCGTGCCAGGAATTACACAGTGGATTTTGAGAGTAGCCGGAATCGTTTGAGCACTAGTGAAACGAGCGTTGAGAAACTCTTTCATTTCATCATAATTATTCTGAGATGAAAATTTGACTGTGATATTCGGGAGATGATTCGGTTGCGAACACCAGTGATAAAGTTCCCCTGGCTTGGTAATCTGCTTGTCTGGCGGCAGCTGCAGACTGGCTCGTGCTGCTTGTCTCTTGACAGTACCGCCAACACCATCGCATGGCCCTTTTCCGTGAGCAGTAGGGAAAAAATGCCATTCGGCTCTGATTCCAAAGTCCTCTTTATGGTAGTATAAATTGATGAAATTTTTCAGATTTTTGAACTGTTGTGGCGCACCATCCGAAAAGTAATAGATTTTTTTCGCGTCTTGATTGATTTCCTTGATGAAATGAATAATAATTTTGGTAAATATGTAAACGGCTACAGTATCATGAGATAAACAATCCGAAATAATCACAAGACTTTTATGAGCAATGAGATCATTCTCTTTGAAATAAATCACCACTGGGTACACCGTCGCCGCATCGTTATTCCAATGAAATGCTGGTGCTGCATCTTGTACGACGAAGGCATAGTTCTCCGCGAAATCACAAATTACCAGGAATTCGTCATTCTGCAGTGACTCTCGTTTCTCCTTCAGATAAGATGACTGTTCTTTGGCAATAAACGCATGTGGTAAAAGTCGTTCCATTTTCTCACAAAAGTCATCAATGAATTCCGTTGTAGTTTTTGTTAGGGTTTCGAGGTTGGCTCGAGGGACTGATATCCAATTTTTGTAGACAACATTATCAATTTCTTCAACCTCCATTGTTGATTTCAAAGTGTCATGAAGAACAGCAGACCCGGGACAATTTGTACACTCGCCAAGATTACACTGTGGTGATGGGTTGCGACATGTCATTAATTTCAAACATTCACTGTAATGTTCCAATGGGTGTGCAGAAGACGCTGTTAATCTTTTGAAATTCGCACCTGGAATGGGGAGAAAAAATTATCGATATCTATAAACTCAGATGAATCTAGTTTTCAATTCAAATAAACAGTGGAGAAAACTTACCGATCATCATCAATTTCACATTCTGATGGATCGGACAGACACACACAGTATGTGTACCACTCCCACCTGCCAGTACGCAATATTTCGGTCTTAAGGAAGCGAATGCTGAGAAGCCGATGACAACCGAAGGTTGGTCCTCTCGGAAGAATTCGTATAATTCTCTCAGATTTGAGAGAATTAATCGTTTCTGGATATGAATTCGTTCATTCGCGCTGTTTCTAGAAGAAACATAATCCTTCATACCAGGCATGTTACTACTAACCCGATCATCATTATAAAATTGCTCCACAGCTGTCAACGTTTCGTCTGGAATTGGTCGTCCTTGAAATGGAGAAAAAATAATTATTAGATGATTGAAGATTGTCAAGTGTTAATAGAGTTTAATCATTTCATAATGTGATGGATTACCTAATTTTGCATCCGGCATTGATAATATCCCTTTCGTCCTAGAGATATTTTTAGCTTTTTTAACCATATACGTTGTTGCACCCATGATTCTTGCTACCTTAGTAGTACTCCACTCGGATGGCAATATCGTAAGTATTTGAATCTTTTGGGCTTTGGTAGTGTTTCCGCTGTGATATTTGGCCTTTAATCGATCGATAATATCATTTAAATCAGTACTTTGTTCACCATTCTCCACGACTCCCAACAATCGTTGCAAATTATAGCAGATTCGGTTGACCTTTTCTTTCAGATAAGGGATTATTGTTAATTTCCTTTTCGGAATAGGAGATTGATTAAGCATTGCTAGACCCTCATTGATCGTGGGCAGCAACGTGTTGATGCTCAACTCTGATGATTTGCTATTTTGTGTCAATGTAAATGATTCACTCCTCTCGGACTCTCCTCTCGGAATCTTGATGCTAAGCTCCGATAACTTGCTGGTTTGGGTCAGTACTTCAGCAGTATCAGCTTCTATGTCTAAACAATCAAATAAAGTCAATAACGTTATAGTGAATTAGGATAAATCCCATTCACTATTGACAACAAGTCATTTTTCTCTAAAACAAGCTTACCTGCATCATCTGAGCGTTCTGGGATATCACTCCCCAATTCCATGGCCAATGGCGCCCATGCATCACAATCTTCATGCATTGCGCAGGAATCTTCAGTTGCTCGTGTGAGGGTGCTAGAAGATTCTCCACTACTACCAGCGTGATGTGAAGGTAAATCCATCGGATTTATATTTATTGGGGCGTCTAATTCTCCACATAACTTCCTACACTTGACACATATCCTGTCGTCTTCAGCTAATCCCCATTTCTCACGTAATCGCTTCGATGGAGTTCTCAATGATTTTGTCTTCTTATGATTCTCCGCATTGTGAGGATTGCAGCAGCGATCATAATTCTTTCCAGGTGCCATAGTCACTAGAATTTGACACCTGCTGAATTTATAACCTAAAAAATGTATGAATTCATAAGGAATATCAGTTCTCACTTCGTGATATTATCGGAATTAATATTTTAAATGCGAGACTCGATGAGACAGCCACTTACCAACAATTACTCCTATTCTCAATATCTCCGTAAACGATTGACAATAAATGAGCAACAAGGGATCTCACGATGTGCTGTTGATCAGCTGAGAGTGTTCACTGGGTCTGAGCTCGAGCTCTCTCCCACCACGGCTAACGCATGCGCAATCACGCCAATCAACAGCGGGCTGCTGTATTAGGGATGCAAAATAACGGTAATTTCAGTCATTTAACTGAGAATCGACCAAAAATTTACCGGTCCATTGACCATCCCGCATCTTTATGCTGTATTGGCGTGAAGTGATTGGGCATGCATTTACAAGGCATCTTTTGGCATTGAAATATGGATATTCCCGTACTGATGCACGAATTTCAAACTAAATAACGGAGATACGGAAAGAAGTCAAAAGTCAAATTTTTTGGAGTTTTTTACGAGCAATATTTTTTATTCGAAACTTTCTTTCATATCTCGAACCATTCCAGCGAAAAATCAAATCAGAACGCTTAAAAGTGAAGAGTGATCGAAGCTATTATCGAATTCGGATTCAGCGACCCCAAAAACATATAAACTTATCCTCAAAAAATTTTTTTTTCTATGAAAATATGATAGTTCTATGAGCGAATGAGTGAACCATCGATCGGCCCATCTTGAAATTAACTTTAAAAAAAAGTTCAGATTTTTTAGAAATTTCATGAATTTTTTCAGATTTTTAAATTGGGGCGAACTTGTTCAGCCTGTTACAATTATTTAAAAAAGACCTATCAATCGAAAAAATCTGAAAAAATTTGAGAGTGCCTTTTTCATGTCGATAAACCATAGAAAAAATTATGAACAAAATCTAAAGGGTCGAGTTCATGAGCTGGTCGAGTTGGCATGGAATGCCCCATATATATATTAATTATAGTATATAATAAAACTCGGCCGGGAAACGTAATAGTTCTCGGCGCAACAAAATTGTGACAACATGATTCCGCATCAAGCGTGTAACATAATGCGCTTGTCGACTTGGGTCTTCACCATGATACAGTAGTTGTTTGTGAAGTAATACCTAACGGTGATGCTACGAAGGGAAGACAGGTCAAAGATTACATGGGTCATGTTCTTTTTTTAGTCCGTATGGGTTGGAAATTCGCAGAGCCAATACAAGCTAGGTCTCATTAACCATGGTGGCTCGAAGTCGCTACCAGCTAGACCTGACCGACTCGGACACTACACTGCAGAAATCATCAAACTGCAGGGTGTGCGTAAAGAGCATTTTTTTTAGGCTCATGACGCTAGGAAGAAAAAAATACACACACATACACGCACACATAAACATCTCTTCAAAAACGTGTCAGGATGTTTCTAGGGGTTATGAAACGTCGACAAATCATGAAAATGCCAATTTTGATTGTCGGGGTAATTACAATAACTTCCTCCCTTAGGGTCGGGAAATTAATAATTGATAATCAGAGCGACACTTATGACAAATACCTTCTTACCAAATACGCAGAATTTAAGTATTGTCAATATTTCTCAATATTTCAGGATTAATTTGTAACCTGATCTCGCTGGCTTCTAAATGAAACATCGATGTCAACGGCATGACATTCTATTTATCATTTATTTCGGAACTTGCCTAGACTATGAAAAATAACACACATATATGAGGTATTCCACGACAAATGAGTCAATCGCTGACCCTCACCCTCTTGGAAATGAATGGCAATTTTTTCTACGATCGGGGAGGTTGAAAAACTATCTCTCAAATTTTTTCAGATTTTTTCGGGAGCCCAGTTCAAAGATGTGATTTTTGTTATATTTTTCCGTTTTATCCAATAACTCGAGTTCTATTTGTCCGATTTTGATTTATTAAGCGTCAAAATTTTCCATTTTTTACCGCCTATACAACTATTTTTAGTAATTTTTTTTTCGATTCCTAGATGCTCATAATAACGAATTTTCGGAAAAAAAATTTGACAAACTTGAATTTTGCAAATTACGTCACGGTTGGTATTCAAATTTTTTTTTCTAGTAATTCTCATAATCAAAACAAGTATTTTGAGCTGTCATTCAAGTTGAGCATCCTCCTGGATCTATGTTATGTATAATTTTATCTTTTGGAAATTTCGCAAATTTCGTCAAAACACCACAAAACGACTTCGATTATGTATCAAAAAAATATGTAATATATAGGTATACAATCAAATTCACTTCATACTGTCTATAATCAACGTCAATCAACGCCATTTTGAGGTGTTGTGACAAAATTTACGGAATCACGAAACGAAAAAATTGAAAATCAAATAGATCCAGGACGATGCCTAACTTGTACGATGGCTCAAAATGCTTGTTTTGATTATAGGAATTACTGAAAAAAAAATTAAACCAATCATCCATGACGTAATTTGCAAAATTCAAGTTTTTCAACTTTTTTATTCGAAAAGTCTTTATTATGCGCATCTAGAGATCGAAAAAAAAATTTCACCAAACAAATTCTCATAGGCAGTATAAAATGAAAAATTTTGATGCTTAATAAATCAAAATCGGATGGATAGAACTCGAGTTATTAAAAAAAACCGGCAAAACGAAACAAAAATCATATCTCCGAACTGGGCTGCCGAAAAAATCTTAAAAAATTTGAGATATAGTTTTTCAAACTCCCCGATTATAGAAAAACTGGCCATCAATTTCCAAGAGGTTCAGGGTCAGCGGTTGACTCATTTGGCGAGGAATACTTCATGTAGATAATGCTCACATCTTAACAATGCAAAATTTTGGGTATTTATGTCGTAGAGTTCAGGATAAGTTATGACGGATTTTTTAAATTCTTATCACAAATCTATCCAGATACATCTCTTCACAGGTAACTCTCTCGTCCACTTGCTTCTGGAAAAGGGCAGACTATTCCGCTAGTCCCTTGGGATCGGATTCAGATTTTAAGCCGTTTATAACCGCCATGGCATGACCTATACTCATGCCCCCTTGGACTGGTTCGTTGAAAATTTTTGTCTTATGAAGAAAAAGGTTAAAAGACATCTCGCATGGAATTGAGGGGATTGCAACCCTCGTTGCAAAGGCATTTCACGTTATTCAAATAATGAATAGTAATTACCGTTGAGGTAAAATTGGTCCACTGTTTCAGACCTCATTATACAATTCATGAGAAATTCGCATTGAAACCTCTCAGCCATTCACGGGTACTTTGGGGGAGAGAGGCTTCCATGAATGAATGAAAATACGGATGGCAACTCTATACGAAGGTCTCAATACGTGTATACAATAATGTAAACAGCACACGCTCCAATGAAATGGTGTACAGTCTTTCTCCGATAAAGATAGAAAGACCAATTATGCGCTAGATAAATGCAGATATGCCATTGTTGAGAATACCTGTGCACATAATCACATGTCACTTACATTTATATCAGCCACGCATTGAGTGTACATTATATAATTATGCAATGTGTGATAGAGTACTTGATCTCTAGACGAGAATGAGTTGTCTGTATGGTATTTGCTAATTCTAATATTTTATATCAAGTTCTAATAGAAATAAACTTAGCAACACTTATCAAAATCAATGAAATAAAATGATTGATTGATGTAAAGTCAATTTGTTGTATACAAAATTACCATTTTGAATCATTTGGGATGACTCAATGGACTGTAGCAGCTGCTCCGAATTGTATTGGAATGCTGACACAATTTCACGTGAGGATTCTACCTTCAGGGAATAAATTATTTCAATTGTACTGCTTATAATTGGGAATTACACACAAGTGATTAATGCACTTATGTGAGCAACTTCTGTTTAATGCAGCAATCATTTTTACCGATACACTTGACAGAATATTAATAAAAGAAAACTAACACTTGAATCGTCAGATTAATGGAGTCGATGAGAATAATATTTCCTCCACATGGTGTTCCAGTTTGGTGTTTTCAAAACCACCACGTCATTTTCTTTGGCGCCACTCTCTCTCTCTCTCTCTCT